TAAGGGGCTTTTCTTCATCCATTCTCTCATGGCTGCCAGTTGGTTAATACTATGTGATGCTTAATATTTAATCCTCAAAAAGGAGGGAAATAGCAGGTGGAATACCTCCTGGCCCCTGTATGCACGTCTTGAGGACTCTGGACAGAACAGAGCATGCTGCAGCTTGGCAGGCCTAAGGCCAGTATCTAGAATTCCTTTTGTCACAATATTGTTATTCAAATCTATTTTTCCCTTATAAAGATTAACTATATCAATATGAAATTTTATGAGTAATACAAATTAGGTAGTCTTCACTTCGGCTAATGCATCTTCTGAAGTGATCTCCACTGCCCTCACTGGAGACAGTACCTCAGTCAATCTGCATGAGCCTTTCACAGCCAGGGGTCCCCTTCCATGTCAACTGGCCACAGGCAAGAAACCTCAGAAAAGGGGGTTTGAAGGGATAGGCTCCTTTGAACAAGGCTTAAGCTGGCCTTGAAGAAGACCTGCCATTCCTCTGCTCAATCCTCTGAAGTCTCTCCTTGGGCAGAAGAACACTCAGCACTCTCCAAGGGGAGGAGTCAAGTGTAGAGAGAGAGAAGGACATAGTGGCCCACTGGTGCCCTATCCACCAAATAGGTCCAGCCCTGACTTATTGCCAGAAACATCAGCACAAACCATCAGGTAGGCTTCCTGAAACTAGAAGCAATATTTACCCAGGGAGCCTCCTGCCTGTGCTCTCAGCAGGCACAGTAGCTACCTGGAACAGGAAGGGTTGGGGAAAGGCAGTAGCGCCACCCTGAGCCTCACATGCTCCTTTATTCCCAACCCATTATGGCCACAAGACACCCCCCTACTCCTCAATAATTTTTTTTTGTAACAGTGTTTGACTTGAAATTCAGCTTGTTCAAGGTCAAGCTTCAAACCATAATATCCCCTTTAAGTATGTTCCTACATGGAGGACTTGGTCTTCTAAGGCCTTCTGCCTTCACAAGGGACTCTCCGGTACGGTTTCCAACTGTTAACATCTGCAATGATGCCTAAGTGAACTAGATCAGGACCCAGGTCAGTTCATCAAGAAATGAGAGCCTTGGGCTGAGGATGTGGCTCTGTGGTAGAGCACGTGCTGTAGCATTCATGAGGCTAATGGGGTTCCATTCCCAGAGCCAAATAAAAACCCTGATGAATGCTTCTGTGTGTATGTGGTGTATGTGAGTGTGGGAGGGGCAGGAATGAGAAGATACAGGTCTATCTACATCCACTCATCTGGCTGTTCCATTATTCAACAAGTGTTTATTGAGAACCTGTTACATCGCAGGCACTGTGCTAGCTGCTTGGAACATATTAGTGAGATGATCCAAGTACCTCTCATCAAGACCCCAACCAACAAAGGATGAGACAAGGATACAATACGATTTCAGAGACTTGGGTTGTAGCTCAGTGATAGAGTGCTTGCCTAGTGTGGGCAGAGTCCTGCATTTCATCCCCAACATTAAACCATTTTTTTAAATTCAATTAATTAAAATTACTATAAAGGAAAACGAAAGCATAGAATGATGAATACTACATTATATAAAAAAGTCACAGAAGGACCCTTCAAAGTCAGGGTATTTCATCAGGGAGGGAGGCATAGACTGATATGTCCATTCCTAGACCAAAGAGCACAGGAAAAGACCCTGAGGTAGAAATGAGACTGAGCTACTTAAGAAGCAGGAGAAAGGCTACTGTGACCAGGAAGGAAAGATGTAGTTGGAGAAGTACATGAAAATGAGACCCCAGTGGGCCACATCAGCAATACTGAGGAGTATGGATCTTGTTTTAGATATGAAGGGGGAAGGGGGAAGTCATAAGATAGATTTGAACAGGTAGTGAAGAAATCTGATGCAGATGCCAAAAAGATCACTCTGGCTGTGTGAGCCTTGGTAGTAAGGCGCTGGCTGTTACCAGTGGAATGTCTGTCTCAGCAGTTAAGGGGACAGTTGGTGCTGGGGAATGGGGGTTGGGGGCAGTCAACAGAGAAGGAACAGCACAAGGTTTGGATTCTGTCCCAGACCTGCCCACATCAGCAGCCCATCATTTGGAGGCCAGCCAGTCCCTGTCTCTAAATAATATAATCTCCTCATAACTACCAGTTTGCAGGAAAAATAAGGAATAGAGGAACATGTTCAATGACACCGTGGGATGCAATCAGCAAACTCAAAACCTGAAAAAACCTCTGAACATGATGATTTTTCTTTTTTTAAAACACAATTTCTTTTTAATATCTTTATTTCACTTATTTATTTTTATGTGGTGCTGAGGATTGAACCCAGGCCCTCGCGCATGCAAGGCAATCGCTCTACTGCTGAGCCACAACCCCAGCCCACATGATGTTTTTTCAACAAATGAATTGCAAAGAAGATCAAAGAAGGTAGAGAAACCTACAGATTAAGCCATACCATACCTGTTGTTATAATTCTAATTCAAATCTATTTTTTAAATATTGGACAAGCAAGGATGTTTGAACTTGATAATTTATAATAATACAAATATTACTAACATTTTAAAAGTCATAATGGTATGGCAGTTGGGTTTTTTGTTATTGTTGTTGTTGTTTTATTTTTATTATTATTTTTATTTTTTTATTTTTGGAACCAGGGATTGAACTCAAGTGTCCTTAACCACCAAGCCACATCCCCAGATTTTTCTTGTATTTTATTTAGAGACAGGATCTCACTGAGTTGTTTAGGGCCTCGCTAGTTGCTGAGGCTGGGTTTGAATTCATGATCCTCCTGACTCAGTCTCCCAAGTCGCTGGGATTCACCCTGAACCCAGCTATTTTTATTTTTATATTTTGCAGTATCAGGCATTGAACCCAGAACCATGTGCATGCTAGACATGCACTCAACCTCTTCTACTACAGAGCTACACTCCATGCCCTTCTCCCTACTTTGTTTATATCTTTGGCATTTTCTCTAAAAAAAAAAAAAAGTTAGACAAGTAAAAGTTTCTAAGTACAGCTTGATGTTCAGTCAGACTTAGAATCAGTGAGGGCTCAGATGATCGCTTTGCAGGGTCAACCAGCTTGTGGCAGTCACAGAAGGGAAGGAGGGTCAGCCTTCTAGGGCTGGATGTGCCAGCAAACAACATGCTGTTATAGAAGCAGCTGACAACCTGACACATGAGCTGACCACACTGAACAAAGAGATGGCAAGTCTGAACCTGAGACTAAATGTCAAATCGTACACGCTGTGTAGATGTTTAATTGGTCAAAAATGGCTCCCAGAACTGTGTAGATGTTTCTTTGTTCAGAACTGTCCCCCAGAACTGCTGCCCCTGCAAGCCACCTTTCTGCTTGTTTATGCCAGCACATGTGATGACTGGAGACTTGTCCAGCCACCTCACCAACTGCCCCAGCAAACGGCCAACACCATGGCTGAGCAGCAGAGGATGTCTGAACAAACAGATGGATGTAAGGAAACTGAGGCCTTTCCCGGTGAAAGGAGCAGAAGTGGAAGGATTCAAGGAAACCCCTCTGTCCTTGCCACGAGGGACCAGTTGTTCCTCTACCTGCCCCGCAACTCACTTTTCCCACCTAGACAGTGAAGCTGGTAAAACTCTACTTGTTGTACTGGCACATGCCAATAGTCTCAGCCACTCGGTAGGTTGAGGCAGATGAATTGCCAGTTCCAGGTCACCCTCCACCCGCCAAGACCCTGTCTCAAAATAAAAATTAAAAAGTGTGTGTCGGGGGTTGTGGTAGAGTGCTTGCCTAGCACGTGTGAGGCACTGATGGCGATCCTCAGTACCACATTAAAAAAAAAAAATACTATAAAGGTATTGTATCCATCTACAAAAAAATTTTTTTTTAATTTTTAAAAAGGGTTGGGGATGCAACTCACAAATAAACCATCCCTGTATATAATCCCCTCTACAAAAGAGGAAGAAGAAAAGGAGGAGGAGGAGGAGGAGGAGGAGGAGGAGGAGGAGGAGGAGGAGGAGAAAAGAGAAAGAAACTACCCTGTAGGTTGTTGTGAGTAAAATATCAAACTGGTAACACAGCTTGGGCACACAGTCACATCAGCTGCTCTCATCATCACCATTATCATGTGCCCTTGCTCTATGAATGAAGAGGATGCAGCAGCCTCCCAAGGGCCAAGTGCAACAAATTCTTTGGCACCCTTGCTGGGGACTGGTGGTACAGGGAGAGGAGCCAGCACAGAGTTGTGGTGGTCAGAGAGTGCTCAGTTCATCTGCCAGATCAGCATTAGGCAAGTGCAGACTGCTGTGAGGAGGAAGAGGAGGAGGAGAGAAGGAAAGCAACAAGGAGGAAGAAGACCATGAGGAGAATGGAGAGTTTCCAGCAAAAAAAACTTTAAGCAGGGTGTGGAGAGGATTCCCCATATCCCTGTTTCTAGAGAAGGCAGGTCACTAGAGAGGGTTTGGATTTGGTGAACCTCTGCAAGATCTGTCTCCATCCAGGGAACTGATATACAGTTCAGGGGGCCATCTGAATCCCAGGACATATACAGTTCGGGGGGGGGGGCGGTATCTGAATCCCAGGACACCTCCCAGAATCTTTCTGGAAGCAGCTCCTGCACCCTGGAACACACACTGCCTGCTGATGGTGAAAGCTCAAGGATTCAGGACAGCATGTAGACCAATCTTAGGACATAGGCTCCAAGTCTGTGTGCTACACTCACTCATCTGGTCTCCAGAAGCAGCCCAGTCAGACACTTCAAGCCTATTAGGCAACACATGTGCTTTTGCCCTGAGGACCTTGTATGCATCCTCAATATTGGCTGAAACCAGGTGTGCCCATCTGTAACAGGAGCTATGTGGTTCAAAGGGGACTTGATAGACTGTTGGACAGAGAAGCTAGTGAAGGTACAGGATAGAAAGATGGGGGTTGGGGAGAAGGTTACAGAGAAGGTTGGGTGAAAGCAGGAAATGAAGATAGGTTTGTGGGTTTTGCACTTCTCCTAGCAAGATAAACACTGAATGCCTTTTTGAGGAAGAAAGATGTGCTATCATTACAGGAAGGGTGGCCCCAGCTTTGTGATTGGAGGATGTGTGTCCCCAATGGCCAAGCTGTCTTCAGTTTGGAAGACTGTTGTTTCTTGGGAATTTCACTGTCAGTTATTATGGGAGCAGATCAAGAGGAATACCAAGGAAGAGGCAGGGGCAGCAGGAGACTCCAGGACCAAGCCATGGTGGTCCTCAGATGTTGATGACCATCATCTGGGGAACACTGGATAGCAAGTAAGCCCCCATTTCCACCCACCCCTGCACCTGAGCATGTTAAGTGGCCTGTGAACCTATAACTCAGCCTGAATTTAACTTCTCAGAATATTCCTTTTTTTCTTTTACTTTCTTCCTTTCTTTGCTTTTTTTTTTAACTGGTGATTGAGCCCTGGGGCACTCAACCACTGAGTCACATCCCCAGCCTTATTTTGTATTTTATTTAGAGATAGGGTCTCACTGAGTTGCTTAGCACCTTGCATTTGCTGAGGCTGGCTTTGAACCTCCTGCCTCAGCCTCCTGAGCCACTGGGATTACAGGCGTGCATCACCATGCTTGGCTTTATACCCAATTCTTAAGGTTAATACTACTGACAGGTACAGAATATATTCAATAGGTATTGATTTCAACGTGACCCTATGGGGTTGTGTTAGTTAGCTCTTTGTTGCTGTGACAATATACTGGAGAAAATTATCTAAAAACAAGAAAAGATTTATTTTGGTTCATGGTTTCAGAGATTTAATTTCATAGTCACTTGGCCCTATCACATTGGTCCTGTGGGAAGCAGAACTTCATGGCAGAAGCACAGGCAGAAGAGAATGTGTTCAGGAAGCAGAGAGAGAGAAAAAAAGAGAGAAATGCTATTTTCATGTATTTATTTATTTATTTGTTAGTACCAGGGATTTAACCCAGAGGTACTGTCCCACTGAGCCACATCCATAACCCCTTTTTAAAAAAAAACAAAACTATTTTCTGGTTAGACACAATACCTTTATTTTGTTTATTTAATTATTTTTATGTGGTGTTGAGGATCAAACCCAGGGCCTTGCGCATGCTAGGCGAGCACTCTACCACTGAGTCACAACCCCAGCACCACCCCCCAACACTTTTTATTTGTTATTTTTGAGACCTGGTCTTACTAAATTGATTAGGGTCTCACTAAGTTGTCAAGGCTGACCTAGAACCTGCAATGCTCCTGCCTAAGCCTCCCTTTCTGCCCCTAGTCAGTGGGATTACAGGTGTGCTGCCATCACATCCGGACTTTCCATCATATTCTTGCAATATACTGGAAATCAGCATAGTGGTTAGATCTGCTGCAACAAGAAGTTGAAGAAGAAACCTGTTTCTACCACTGACTTGTCTGCCTTTTTCTTGTTTCAATATAGCGTAGGTGAGCAATTGGAGAAGTTGCTCACTTATCCCTTCATAGTGGCAAAATTTTCTATCCTGGGCCTGCCTCAATAGCCCCAGCAGTTGGAAGCTGAGAGTATGGCATGTTCCAAGGCCCTTTGGTGGAAGGCAGTATAACTGACACAGAGTTTAGAACGCAAAGGGTTTGTGCTGTTTGCTGAGTTTGGAGAGGCTGGTGGGAAGCGATTTCTCAGGACTTGAAAGCCAAAGAAAATATTTTGGTATAGTCTAAGAGCAATGGGAATCTGCAAAATAATTTTAGGCAGGAGGATGACCCTTTTTTATTTGCTTGCTTGTTTGTTATTGGTGCTGGGATGCAACTCAGGGGTTAAGCATGTGCTCTACTACTGAGCTATACTCCCATCGCTTAAATTAGATTTTTAAAAGAGGGATATGTAGTAAGGTGCAGTGGCACATACCTATAATCCAGCAGCTTGGGAGGTTGAGAGAGGAGGATTTTAAGTTCAAAGCCAGTCTCACTAACCTAGAGAGATTCTGTCTCTAAAGAAAAAAAAAAAAGAAAGAAAGAAGGAAGGAAGGAAGGAAGGAAGGAAGGAAGAAAATATATAATATAAATATGTATGTATATGGGCTTTGGATATGTGGCTCAGTGGTAAAACACCCCTGGGTTTAATCCCTGGTACGAAGAAGAAGAAGAAGGAGAAGGAGAAGGAGAAAAGAAAGAAATGGTATGCTTTCCTGTGGGAAATGGAATTGAGGCAAGGAGACCACAAGGAAAAGAGCAATAAAGATGGCCTCAACTGGGGGAAAAGGAGAAGGTACAGAGAAGGGGCACTTGGGAGATATTTCAATGTTGAGCCAGTAGGATGTGTTTGAGCATGGGGCAACCCAGGGGTACTCTACCACTGAGCTACACCCAAGCCCTTTATATTTTTAATTTAAGATGGAATCTTGCTAAGTTGCAGAGGCTGACCTTGAATTTACCATTCTCCTGCCTTAACCTCCTCAGTAGCTAGGACTACAGGCATGCACCACCATGCCCCTGAACCAGCAGGATTAGGAAATGCCATGATTGGTTAAAGGGGAGATAGTGAGGAGGCAACAGAGATTAACACTTAGGGTCAGCTCTGGAGTCAGGCCCTGCACAATTGACTGGCATTCCTCCTAGACAGGAGGCACCGGGAAACATCAAGTGCATAGTACCTAAAACACCTCCACCTTGGAAACACTTCCTCCTGGTAGCTTGGGACCTCCACACCTTAGGAGAAGTTTGCTCGTTTCCTTTTTAGAGGTCCTTCTTGCATCAGTCCTCATGCACTGATCACCTGAGAATGTTTCAAAAAATGGAGCAACTCCAGAGTGTGTCAGTATTTAGAGCAGAATCTTGAGAGTCTGAGGGCAAGGAACAGGAGAAGGTCTTTGGGGATGGAGTTTGGACCAAGCTCTCAAGTGATGGGATTTCAACAAGAGTGCACACCCCTTTGATATGTGTGTGTCTGTGCACATGTATATAGCTGGAAGCTTCCTGGAGGAAGCAGCCTGGGTGAGGAACCAGGGTAGAAATAGGGTGGGGCTCTCCAGGAAACGAAGAGAACTAAGCAGAACCATTAAAACCTCAAGATAAAACCGGGGTAGATACAGATCCCATGTGCCAGGCTTTCCCTTAGGACTCATGCTTTCGACCTAACTTCCACATTCAGGTAGGAGGGATCCTGGCCATCAGGAAGGAAGGTGCTGGAGTGGGAGCTCTGCTGCCTTGGAAATTACTTCATTTCCTTCCACCCAAATAGCTGAGTCCCTGACCCACTCTAGATGCTTGCTTAGTCCTCATCCCAAATGTATCTCCCTATGAGTCCTGGGCAGGTACAAAAATCTCCTTAGGAGGAAGCCCTTTCCTGAAGCTGCATGAGGATAATAGGGAGGGGTGTTCCTGATAGTTCTCACTTGCTGGCTACAGTCCCCAGGGGATGGACCTGGGGTTATGATTGGTAGGGAAGAGAGATCCAGAGACTACCTATCTCCTTCCCTACACACCACCTACCTGACCCAGCATTGGAAATCCAGAGTCCAAAGTATCGTGGTCACAGAGACACATCCAGCATTCCAGGTGTCCTAGGAAGGGTGCAGGCGGTAGCTGATGCGCTGTGGACTCTAAAGATCTCTATGGGGACGCTCTCTGGGAGAACTACCTCAGAGTCTCCTTAGAGAGTAAGCCCTAGAGGCAGTAGGGGTGCTGTCAAGCCTTCTGGATCAACCCTTGGGAGGAGTGCAGTGTCAGGTAGCAGTGAGGGTCCTAGGAAGACCGCGATAGGAGGCAAGTAGGTGAACAGGTCCTCCTAGCCCACGGGGGCGCCCTTTGCCGGGGGTGGGGGTGAGGGGAGGGAGGCGGCAGGGCGGGAAGGCAGTGGAGGCCCCTGGCAGTTGTGCTGCCACTTGGTGATACTCCGAGTCGCCATCTCAGGGTCTCTTGACTCAAATTCCACTCCTCGCGGGGCCACGACGCTGGTTGGCCTGAATCAAGATTCGAGACCCAATCGTCGCCTTTTCCCTCTCTCAGGCTCTTGAGATCGTCACCTCTGCTTTGCGCAACATGCAGCCTGAGGGCCTCGAGGGTCCCCACGTGCTCTGCCCGTGGCCTCTGCTGCGTTCGTTTTTTCTGCCCCTGCTGCTGCTGCTGCTGCCACCAAACCCTGTAACCGGCACTGAGATCACTCCCGGTACCACCGACACCCCGACCGCTCTAGACGCCCCCAACTCTGGGACCACGCCAGTCACCCCCAGCATCCCAGGCCTGCGAGAGCGCGCGCTGGCCCTAATGCGGGACTTCCCGCTGGTGGACGGGTAAGTAAGTGCCGCATGGGGGCAAGTGGGGCAGAGCGCACCCCTAGGTCAGGAAAGGTTCCAAGCATGCAAGGTTAGCGAGGATGCCCCCTCACACCTAATGTGGATGACCACTCTCCAACTTTTCTGGGTGCCCTGCTCTCCTCTACCATTCCCCCTCTGGTGGGAAACCCCCAGCCCAGGCCTCAAGGGACCTCAATATAGTCTGGTAGGGTGAAGGACACCCCCTCCTCCAGATCCCCTGCCTTGCCAGGAAGCCTAAAGTGCCCACCCATCTGTCCCTGACCTGACCTTGCCTTGATGTCCCTCCAGCCACAACGATCTGCCCCTGATCCTGAGGCAGTTTCACAAGAATGGACTAAAGGATGTCAACCTCCACAATTTCAGTGATGGCCAGACCAGCCTGGACAGGCTTAGAGATGGCCTCGTGGGTGCTCAGGTATCACAGGGACACTCAGGGTACCACAGCATGGCTTTTGGGACTTTGGGGAGGAGAGGCAGCTCCAGAGATCCCAAGTTTGTCACGTGGGTACTCAGTTACTATAGCAACTCAAGAAGTGCCATGAAGCTTCTTGGGTGGAGGGTTGTATATCTGTCATCCCAGCTATTGAGGAGGCTGAGGCAAGAGGATCACAAGTTCAAGGTCAGCATAAGCAACTTAGAGAGACCTTGTCTCAAAATAAAAAGTAAAAAGGACTGAGAATGTAGCTCAATGCTAAAGATCCCCTGGGTTTAATCTTCAATACCAGAAAAAAAAAAGTGTTATGATGTGGAATCAGGGTCTGCAGGGGCTACGGTGAGCCAGTTTGATTGGTATGAAGGTACCACAGAAGGACAGAAGGAACAGTGCATTCTGTGTGGCCTCTGGGCCCACCAAGTGTTGTGTTAGCCATGGAGGCCCAAGGAGCTCCAAAGTAGCCCCTGCCCAAACCAACCCCTGACCCTCCCCCCAGTTCTGGTCAGCCTACGTTCCATGCCAGACCCAAGACCAGGATGCTGTGCGTCTCACACTGGAGCAGATTGACCTCATTCATCGCATGTGTGCTTCCTATTCTGAGTTGGAGCTTGTGACCTCTGTGAAAGGTAGGTGAAGTAATAGGTGATGTTAGGGATTTGATTGAGCTACTTTAACTCCTAAAAGTAATCACCTGATCTCTCTCCCCCCAGCTCTGAACAGCACCAAGAAATTGGCCTGCCTCATTGGTGTGGAGGGTGGCCACTCACTGGACAACAGCCTCTCCATCTTGCGTACTTTCTATGTGCTGGGAGTACGCTACCTGACGCTCACCCACACCTGCAACACACCCTGGTAAGCACAGTACTGACGGTAGAGGTCTGTCTTCCCCAGGTCACACCAAGAGCCCAGAGCAAACTTTACCCCTAGGAGCTGGCACTGACCCTGGAATGCGGAGGGAAGCTGGTATCGTGGGGTTCACAGAACAAGACTAGACCCCAGCAGGGCTCTCCCTCTGCCAGATACAACCCATCCTGGGTCCTTGGTTTTTCTTCAGGGAGTTGCAAGGTAGAGAGTTTAGTAGAGGCTCTAGGTTCTTGTGACTGAAACATGGCCACCAGTCAGACTATCTCTTGGTAATCCTGCAGGGCAGAGAGCTCGTCTAAGGATATCCACTTCTTCTACAGCAATGTCAGTGGTCTAACCAGCTTTGGTGAGGTAAGGACCCCCAGTTCATACTCCACCCCACACAAATGTACATGCCCCATCTTTCCCTACAGACAAATGCAGGCATGCATGCACCCTTGACACTTGCCTTCCTACCTGTACCTGCAGAAGGTGATAGCAGAAATGAATCGCTTGGGCATGATGGTAGACTTGTCTCATGTCTCTGACGCTGTGGCCCGGAAGGTTCTGGAATTGTCACGGGCACCTGTTATATTCTCGCACTCTGCTGCCAGGAGTGTGTGCAAGAGTGATCGGAATGTTCCTGATGATATCCTGCAGCTTCTGGTGAGAAACTACCCCGGCCCTGGAATCTAAAACAAGAGGTTTGAACCAGGAGCCCTTGATCCCTCAGTTTCCTCTGACCCTTGGCTGAACCACAGACCTATAGTCCATAGCCCTTGAACTCTTGAACAGGGTGGGGGTCTTTTAGGTCATAAATATTCCTCGACCCCTTAACCTCAGAGCCAAGATATGCCCACCCAAACCATGGCTAAGATTCTCCTATTCACAAAAACCAGAGAGGTGAAGTCTCCTCTGGTTTCTGAAGCCAGAGCTGGACATCTTCCTCATAGGGGCTAGAGGGTGGGCAGGCATGCTGCTATGCCAGGGATCAAGCTGAGTGTCCATTTGACCATCCTTGCAGAAGAAGAATGGTGGCATTGTGATGGTGACCTTTTCTATAGGCGTGCTACAGTGCAACCTGTTAGCCAACGTGTCCACTGTAGCAGGTGAGTTTTCCCCCAACACTTCTAGGCTCTCTCTTTTTTGTGGGTGCTGGGGATAGAACCCCAGTGTACTTTACCATTGAGTTACATCCCCAGTCCTTTTTTGTTTTTGAGACAGGATCTCACTGAATTGCTAAGGCTGACCTTAAACTTGCATGCCTCTGCTTCAGCCTGCAGAGTTGCTGGGATTACAGGCATATGACATCACACCTTGTACTCCCCAGGTTCTCTAAAGAGCTCTGATTTGGACTTGAGGCTCTGAGGGTACCTTGGTATGGCCCCAGTGGTTTGGCTAAAATTCCCCAATGTCTACCTTGGTGCTTTGCAGAACCACTGCCAGAGTCCATGCTGATATGCTGATGGATATAAGGGAGGTGGTCAAACATAGACCTAGGTGCCCACCATCTGCACATCTGCAGGGATACCAAAACACCCTGTTCCTGCCTCTGCTTAGGTCTTCAGGATCTTTGTCAAGTGTTCTCTTTGTCCCTTTTTTATACTCCATACCCCTGGAAAGGTGCACCTAATAGGTTCTCAAGGAGACTAGAGGCAGGGTGAATCTAGATGAGAAATGGCCTAAATGGCTTCACTCAAAACCTGAAGTCCAATCTAGAGCCAGCTGGGATCAGTTGATAAAATCTCAGGGCCTTCAGGAACCTATATGCTACAAGTTAAAGACTACAAGAAGAGGATTAGCAGAGTCTAGCTCTATGGGCACCCCTGCCCTGGAAGCTTCACACTGCAGACTCTCTATCTCCCCAGATCACTTTGACCACATCAAGGCAGTCATTGGATCCAAGTTCATTGGGATTGGTGGAGACTATGATGGTGCCAGCCAGTGAGTACTTTCCAGTGGCTTTTCTGTGGGACCTTTACAGTCACTATGCCTACCACATCATGTTCCTCATAGCCTTTAGGCCTTGCCCACCTCACATCTACCCACTCTTCATTCCCAGGGTCTGCTTCCTGGACCCCACTGACTGTTTTCAGCCCAATGACCCTATTCTAAAGTGTCATATTTGGCTAAACTCCCAGACAGCTCATCTACTCAGCACATGCACCCACCCCCACAAATCCACTCCCTCTGAGTGGACTATCAGCAAGGTCTCGCATGGGCTGGCCATCTTCTCTACCCAGTTCTGGTTCTGGGAAGTTTTTCTTCTTTTTAAATGGAAGGGACACATGCAGATCTTTTTTTTTTTTTTTAATTTTTTAGTTGTAGATGGACATAATACCTTTATTTTATTTATTTATTTTTATGTGGTGCTGAGGCTAGAACCCAGTGCCTCACACATGCTAGGCAAGCGCTTTACCACTGAGCTACAACCCCAGCCCCAATCATACAAATCTTAATCATACAGTTCAGTGGGATTTGGCAAATATTCAAATATTCCTCTAAGGGATGAAGAGTGGGGCAAATCACTGTTGCCAACTCCTCACTGCCCATATCTAATCAGAGCTGGGGTGCAGTGACCTAGGACACATAGGGCTAGGATTCTGAGGCCTTTCTGCTGGTGGCCACACAGATTCCCTCAGGGGCTGGAGGATGTGTCTACATACCCACTGCTGATAGAGGAATTGCTGAATCGGGGCTGGAGTGACGAAGAGCTTCAAGGTGTCCTTCGAGGAAATCTGCTACGGGTCTTTGGAGAAGTAGAACAGGTATGCTGAGCTGGGTAAGGAGTGGTCCAAGGTTCTGAAAATGTATTAGGGGCGTCTGGGGGAGTTGCTAACCACCAACTTCCATATCTAGGTACGGGAGGAAAGCAAGTGGCAAAGCCCCCTGGAGGACAGTATCCCAGATGAGCAGGTGGGCAGCCCATGCCGATCCATCCTCTCAAGACTGCGTCAGAAACAATATTTGGCTCCAGACCAGAAACTAACCAAGATCCCCACACGTCAAACATCCAGATTATCACGCAAGTGGTCACTCTCAAAATCTTCCTCCTACAAGGTCCCAGGTCTCACAGTTGTTGCCGCCTTCCCAGTCCTCATTCTATGGCTCTAGTGACCCAGTTAGTCCTGCCAGATTTTACTCTGGCAGCTTGGATACCCCGGAGCACCCCCACTTTGGGAAGGCACAAACATTTCCTGGAAATAAATGTTTTGGAAATGGAATCGCATGTGAGTGTCCTCGGTGGTAGAGTCTAGTGGCATAGGCTCCCCGGGCTGATGATCATTAGGGGACCCTGCATTTCAGCCACCAGTTGCTCAAAGAATGCCTGATGGTAGTAGCCTGAGGTGACTGAGGGGGTTGAGCTCAGTACTAGATAGTGGGCAGATCTTGCTCAGGAGGGTGGACCCTATTCCAGGTTTCCTCTGAGTAGCTCATCTCTATCGACATGTGAATCCACTGACCATCCCTAGAGGATCTCTTATGAAATTCTGCTTCAGATTCTCAAGAAGGGAACCTGCCTGGATCATGAATGATATTTGTTCCTCTTTGTACAGAGCTCCCAGTCCTCACAGACTTCCTTTCCAAAAGGCACTAGCATCTACCCCCTGATGAATCTTACCCCCAGGCCCTTAATGATAACTAATAGCAACTGTAATAATAAAAGCTAATACTAACAACTAATAGTAAATAATATATGACGATAATAGAGAGTAATAAAAATAGTTACCATTGCTAGTATCCTGTGTAGACCTCATGACTGAGCAATTTTGCTCCAGATATATATTCAGCAGGAAAGCATGGATACATTCCCCCAAAAGGCATATGAATTTATATTTTTAGTAGCAGTATTCATTCAAACTGCATTTCAGAATCAAACTGTGAGGACCTGAACAGATACTTCACAGAATTAGACATACAATTGATCAAATATATGAAAAAAATGTTCAACATGTCTAGCAATTAGAGAAATGCAAATCAAAACTACACTGAGATTTCATCTCACTCCAGTCAGAATGACAATTATTAAGAATACAAACTAGGGGCTGGGGTTGTGGCTCAGCGGTAGAGCACTCGCCCCGCATGTGTGAGGCCCTGGGTTCGATCCTCAGCACCACATAAAAATAAATAAATAAAATAAAGGTATTGTGTCCAACTACAACTAAAAAAAAAAAGAATACAAACTATAGGGCTGGGTTGTAGCTCAGTGGTAGAGTTCTTGCCTAGTATGTGTGAGGGACTGGGTTTGATTTTCAACACCACATATAAGTAAATAAAAGTAAAGGTTCATCAACAACTAAAAAAAGTTTTTTTAAAAAAGAATACAAGCAACAATAAATGGTGGCAAGAAAGTAGGGAAAAGGGTATACTCATACACTGCAAACTAGTGCAACCACTAAGGAAAGCAGTATGGAGATTCCTCAGAAAACTTGGAATGGACCACCATATGACTCAGTTATCTCATTCCTCAGTCTATACCCAAAGGACTTAAAATCAGCATACCACAATGATGCAGCCATATCAATGTTTAGAGCAGCCCAATTCACAATAGCTAAACTATGGAACCAACCTAGGTGCCCTTCAACAGATGAATGGATATAGAAAATGTGGCGTATGTACACAGTGGAATATTACTTAGCCTTAAAGAAAAATGAAATTATTGCATTTGCTGGTAAATGGATGGTGCTGGAGAACATCATGCTAAGAAAAATAAGCCGATCCCAAAGAACCAAAGGCTGGATGTTTTCTCTGATATGCGGATGCTAATTCACAATAAGGAGGGAATAGGGAAGAATAGAGGTATTTTGGATTAGACAGAGGGGAGTGAAGGGAAGGGAGCAGTTATGGGAGTAAGAAGAATAGCAGAATGAATCAGACATTATTATCCTATGTGTATGTATGATTACACAATTGGTGTAATTCTACATCATATACAACCAGAAGAATGAGAAATTATACTCCATTTATGTATGATGTGTCAAAATGTATTCTACTAGGGTTGGGTGCGGTCGCAGATGCCTGTAATCCCAGCAGTTTGGGAGGCTGACAGGAGGATTGTGAGTTCAAAGCCAGCCTCAGCAACAGTGAGACACTAAGCAACTCAGTTAGACCCTATCTCTAAATAAAATGTAAAAAGGTTGAGGATGTGCCTCAGTGGTTAAGCACCCCTGGCTTCAATCCCCAGTACCAAAAAAAAAAAAAAAAATTTGTTTTGTTGGGCATGGCAGGGCACGCCTGTAATCCCAGTAATGCTGGAGATGCTAGAGGCTGAGGCAAGAGGATCCAAGTTTAAGATCAGTCTCAGCAACTTAGTGAGACACTGCCTCAAAATAAAAAATAAAAAAGGGCTGAGGATATACCTCAGTGATAAGGGGCTCCTGGGTTCAATCCCCAGTAACACAAAAAGAAAAAAGTATTTTAAAAAAAATCACATTAACTTGAGAAGCAAAAAAAGTGACTGGGAATATAGCTCAGTGATGGAGCACTTGCCTAGCATGCATGGGTTCAATCCACAATACTGCAAAAAAACAAATAAAACCTTGATTGCTGAATTTGCAACAGAAATAATGGAAGCCCACACAAAGTAAACTATCTTTAACACAGAGAATGAAAGAAATTATTAATGTTCAATTCTATGTAAAAATATTCTTCAAAAAATGAAGGAAGCCAGGCGTAGTGGCACACACCTGTAATCCCAGCACTCCAGAGGCTGAGACAAGAGAATCACAAATTCAAAGCCAGCCTCAGCAATGACAAGGCGCTAAGCAACTCAGTGAGACCCTGTCTCTAAATAAAATCCACAATGCCAAGAAAAAAAAAAAAAGAAAAAGAAAAATACACTGGTACATGATGCGTGTCCATAATCCCAGCTACTAGGAGGCTAAAGCAGGAAGACTTCAAGTTCCAGGCCAGTGCATGGTAATTTAGCAAGATCCTATTGAAAACAAAATTAAAAAGGGCTGGGGATGTAGCTCACTGGTAGCCCACCCCTGAGTTTACACAGAAGAATGTTTTGTACAGAAACAAAATTCAACTCTAAAGGCTACAATAACATGGTCTCCCATAAAAATCGTTTGTTTGTTTGTTTATTTATTTATTTATTTCCGGAATTGAGCCCAGGGCTGCTTAATCACTGAACCACATCCCCAGTCCCTTTCTATATATTTTATTTAGAGACAGGGACTCAACATGTTGCTGAGGCTGTCTTTGAACTCCTTATCCTCCTACCTCAGCCTCCCAAGCCTCTGGGATTACACCTGCCACCGCACCCAGCTTCATTTTTATTTTTACAGTCTGTAGAGAATACAGTGAAAACATACAGATCCAGGACTAGGGATGTATGTAACTCAGTGATGAAGACCAGCATCGTGAGGCCTTGGGTTCAGTCCCTAGTACTGCAAAACAAACACCATACAGATCCAGTTCACTTTTCTGAGCAGTAGCATAGAATTTCATGGAATGTTTGACCCTCAAGGACAAGGCACAACCTGGCAGCTGAACCCCAAGGTGGCTCTGGCTAGAGTTGAAATTAGGCCGATTCCTGGGTCCTTACCCAGTTCCGGTATCGCTAGAGGAAGCCCTCCAGGCCCAGGGGGGCGCCCTCCTAGTTGGGGAGAGAGCACTGCGGTGCCCCCTGGCGACTCCGCTTCGCAGCACAAAGGATCCCAGCACGTGGGTGCCAGCGTAGCGACCTCCAAACGAGGCTGCATCCACCTGAATCTACGGTCGGTACTCCGTCTTTGCCCCCTGCCCTTCACTCGCCCCTCCCAGGCATCTCGTTCATCACGCCTCCCCCCACACACACACCATTCCGCGGATCATGTTCCCCCTTGGCCTGGAAGGTCCCTGGGCGCCCCACCCGCGGGCTCTGCTATGTCTGCCGTTCCTGCTCTTTCTGCTTCTGCTGCCTCCGCAGCCATTAACCCACTCCCAGACCACGCTGGGCACCCCCAACGCCTCAACCGCCTCGGGCACTCCCAGTGCCCCAACCCCTCCAGGCACCCCTGTCTCCCCACCCACACCGGGCACCCCCAGTGTCCCGGGCCTACGAGAGCGGGCTAGGACCCTGATGAGTGACTTCCGGCTTGTGGATGGGTATGTAGGTGACTTCCTGGGAAAGACTAGGGGCTGAGCACACCCCTAGGCAGGGTAGGTTCTGAGCATGCAGGGCTAGGGAGCGGACGTCCCTCTCACACCACCCCTGGAGGGTCTCTCAGCCTTTCTCCATTGGGGTGGGTGTCCTCTACCCTATTACCCCATTACTCTCTCCAGTCAGACCTCAGGGGTCTCCATATTGTATGTGTGATGGAGCTTGGGGGTGGTGAGGAAAGGTAGGCACAAGCATGTTGCTATGTCCTGCTTGACCAGGAGGCCATGTCCCCATTCTGATCTCCTTTTTTTTTTATTAATTAATTAATATATATATTTTTAGTTGTAGTTGGACACATTACCCTTATTCATTTATTTTTATGTGGTGCTGAGGATGGAACCCAGGGCTTCCCACGTGCTAGGCAAGCACTCTACCACTGAGCCACAACCCCAGCCCCATTCTGATCTCCTTTTGACCCTACTAGCCACAATGACCTACCTCTGCTCCTGAGACAGCTTTTCCAGAACAGGCTGCAAGATGTGAATCTGCGCAATTTCAGCCGTGGCCAGACCAGCCTGGACAGGCTTAGAGAAGGCTTTGTGGGAGCTCAGGTACCATAGGGACACACACACAGTACCAGCATGGCTGCTGGAGAATGTTGGGATTAGAGAAACCTGGGGGTGGGGGCAGATTTTGGGTGACTAGGTACATAGGCATGCAGTGAGCCATAAGATGAATGTTAGAGAGTGTAGAGACCAAGACAGATAAGCTGCATGGGTGCCTGGATTCTTTGGAGATAGGTTGGAAATGACCAGAAAATCCCTGGTGAGCGTGAGGATTGCTGGAGTCATAAAGGATGGTTAATTGGCCTGGGTAATTTGCATACATGGGAATTAGTCCATGATGTGTCATGAGTCCAATTTAGTCATTGGCAGAAAGCTTATTAGTTAGTCATCAAAGTACCATGGGGTCATGTGGTGCCTCACTTGGGGTCACAAACCCAAACGGGTGCTGTGGGGACTCAGGCAGGCCTAGGGCAATGGAGACCATCCTGGGCTCATTCTATACCCACTGCACTAGTTCTGGTCAGCCTACATCCCATGCCAGACCCAGGACCGGGATGCCATACGCCAT